ATATTGGTGTCAGAGAGTGGGACGGAAAAGAAAAAAGAAGATGAAAACGAGAAGTGGCAAATCAAACTACAGCTTAGCAAATTTGATGGCATCAATATAAGAACAGCAAAAGAAACAAGAAGAGAGATTACAACAGCTGTTAGAGGAGAAAGAAAATGAACAAGAAGAGAGACTACAGCAGTGGCAACTGGAACAAGAAAGGAAACAAGAAGTACAAATGGAAAACTTAGTAAATTTCAAAGAGAATTAAATACTTTAAAGGATGATTTACTGTCTTTTACATCAGGAGGATATATTAGCCATGGACCTAATCAGCCTCAGACAATGGAAAGCCCCTTCCAGACCCCGCAGCTAAACCCTAATGCAGACATCTTCAGTCCCGTCAGAAGTCACATTCCAGACATGAGTGTCAGCAATTGGGGTGGTCAAGTACGAAGGAAGCCACATGAATTCGATGGGAAGGCATATAGAGCACAATTTGAGCTCCTGGCAGAAATGAATGGATGGACAGAAGAGCAGAAGGCAGTGTACCTGGCAACAAGTTTGAAGGGACAACCACTGGAAATACTTGGACAGTTGTCAGCAGACGACAGGCACAACTATAGAGCGCTGGTAGCTGCTCTAGAACTTAGGTATGGAACCCAAAATCAGTCCGAAGTCTACAGAGCTAGGTTTAGGACTAGAGTTCGTGCTAAAGGGGAGAGCCTGCAAGAGCTGGCACAGAACTTGGAAAGCATGGCACACAAGGCCTACCCAACTGCACCACCCGATGTCCTCAAGTTGTTGCTGAGAGATCAGTTTGTAGACGCCTTGGACAGTCCACAACTTAAGATACAAGTGAAGCAAGCACACCCTTCTACCATGCAGGATGCAATGGCCAGAGCTCTTGAATTCGAATCCTATGTTAAGTCCAGCACAGAGGTACCAAGGTTGGTACAGTCATCAGGATTCAAGGCCAGAAAAGGTCAGCTTTCAGAGAGGTTTGAGGGACTTTGCTGGCACTGTAACAAACCTGGACACAAGAAAGCTCAATGCTGGAAACTTCAACACAGGGAAGTTGCCACGGCAGGAAAGGCTGTTGGAACTGTGGAGAGCAAGGACATATGAGGAGCCAGTGTAAGAAGAATACTACCAATAGGTCAGCTTCGGGAAACCAGTAGTGGTTGGTGCTGAGGGACGCCCACCAATCCCCATTGTGAAAGTCCCAACAGCTAAGTGTAAAATGGCAAGTACACATAGTGTCTACGTGACAGGAAAGCTGGATGGTCAAAGGTGCAACTTTGTTATAGATTCTGCATCTCAGCAAACCCTTGTGAGTATCAAGGTGCTGGATCACAAAGGACTACCAGAAGTCACATAGAAGCTCTGTGGTGTAACAGGACATTATGCAAGGCTGTGGGGACCAGTGTGGGTAACTATTGTGCTCATGGGCATGAAGGACAAACACAAAGTATACTTGGCTGACATTGAAGACCAATGCATATTAGGGTTGGACTGCTTACTACCGAGGAAGTGTGTAGTTAACTTCGATAAAATGACGATTGAAAACAACAAAGGCCAAATTCCAGTAAGTGTTGCTGCATCAAGGCCGTAACATTGAATCAACTGTGTTCCATGAATACTGCAAGTTGTTTGGCATATGAAAGACCAGGACAACGCCACTTCACCCACAGTCTGATGGGATGGTAGAAAAGTACAACTGGACACTGGGACAGGAATTGGCAAAGTTTTGTAATAGCCGCCAAGATGACTGGTATGTCTTACTTCCTCCAATGTTGATGGCCTATAGAACAGCAGAGCATGAAGCCACTGGATACACTTCAGCAAAGTTGATGTTTGTTCGGGAACTTCGGTTGCCAGTGGATCTGGTTACAGGACGCCCACCTTACGAAAAGTTGCATGAAGCTATGTTATGATAAGAGATCTACTGAAGTCAGCTTTGTACCAGGAGACAAGGTGTGGTTGTATAATCCCAGGAAGACTAAAGGGAAGTCTCCTAAGTTGTCTTCTTCATGGGAAGGCCCATATGACATAGTGGATCGTCTCTCAGATGTAACTTTCCGAATAAAGTGTGGTCGGCGAGGTAAGCCAAAGGTGGTGCATGCCAACAGGCTTTGGCATTATCACGGTCCTGGACATTTAAGTTGGAACGAAGTGAACAACGGAATAAATGACGCTGCTGAAGACGTGTCACCTGAAAAAGCCACTGTCGAAGAAGAAACTCTACCCGGTTTTGAGAAGGGAAACATT